CGTCGCAGGAGCCTAACTTTTCTGTGCGCGCGAATCAAGCCGGAATTGCTCTGGTAGGTGTATTTCAGCATGGGCCACCCGCATAAGCAACGAAATTCATGTCGTTCGACGCTTTTCCCTACGCCTATATGGATCTGAGCGCTTCCTATGCATCTGTCGGCAGACGCGGCCGTCGTCGCATGCGGCGAACTTTTCTGTGCGCGCGAACCAAGCCGGAATTGCGTTGGTAGGTATATTTGAGCATGGCAACAACATTCAGGTCATTCAACGCTTTTCGCTACACGTATAGGGATCTGAGCGCTTCTTTAGAATTTGTCGGTAGACGCTGCCGTCAGATTTCATGTGATCAAATGTTCTTTTACAAATTAGAGTTTTAGATAGATATATATATATATATGGAAAAAACTTGAAATTTTGTTTGAAAGAAACTTATAACAAACTACCAGATATAAATCGAAACCTGTCACGATGCTCGCTCGTCACGATGCACGCTCGTCACGATGCTCGCTCGTCACGATGCTCGCTCGTCACGATGCTCGCTCGTCACGATGCTCGCTCGTCACGATGCTCGCTCGTCACGATGCTCGCTCGTCACGATGCTCGCTCGTCACGATGCTCGCTCGTCACGATGCTCGCTCGTCACGATGCTCCTCGTCACGATGCTCCTCGTCACGATGCTCACTCGTCACGATGCTCGCTCGTCACGATGCTCACTCGTCACGATGCTTGCTCGTCACAATGCACGCTCGATAACATATATAACAAATGCTAAAAACATGTTTCAATAGTAATAACATAGAAAATATAACAGCATAACTTTTGTATGACAGATTACATAGTTTTAAGAGTAATAACATCGTGAATATATATGTATGTTATCTTAGAAACATTCGATAGCAATATTAATTATCATGAACAACTTCAATACGTTCAACTGAGCTCATGTGATCAAATGTTCTTTTATATATGAGAGTTTTAGATATATATATGAAAAACAACGTGAAAATTTGTTTTTAAAGAAACTTATAACAATCTACCAGATATATATCGAAAAATTACAACAAACATGTCACGATGCTCGCTCTGGTCGGCGCGCGAACCAAGCCGAAATTGCTTTGCTTGGTGTATTTGAGCATGGGCCACCCGAATATTCAACAGCATTCATGTCGTTCGACGCTTTTCCCTATGCCTGTAGGGATTTGAGCGCTTCCTTAGCATTTGGCGGCAGACGCGGCCGTCATCGCAGGCGCCGAACTTTTCTGTGCGCGCGAACCAAGCCAGAATTGTTCTGGTAGGTGTTCTTGAGCATGAGCCACCCGAATATGCAACAACATTCAGAACGTTAGACGCTTTTCCCTACGTCTATAAGGATCCGAGCGCTTCCTTAGCATTCGTCGGCAGACACAGCCGTTGTCGCAGGCGCCGAACTTTTTTCTGTGCGCGAGAACCAAGCCGGAATTGCTCTGGTAGGTGTTTTTTAGCATGGGCCACCCGAACATGCAACGACATTCAGGTCGTTTGACGCTTTTCTCTGCGCCTATAGGGATCCGAGCGCTTCCTTAGCATTTGTCGGCAGACGCGGCCGTCATCGCAGGCGCCGAACTTTTCTATGCGCGCGAACCAAGCCGGAATTGCTCTGGTAGGTGTATTTGAGCATGGGCAACTCAAATATGAAACAACATTCAGGTTGTTCGATGCCTTTCCCTATGCCTATAGGGATCCATGCACTTCCTTAGCATTTGTCGGCAGACACGGCCGTTGTCGCAGGCGCCGAACTTTTTTCTGTGCGCGAGAACCAAGCCGGAATTGCTCTGGTAGGTTTATTTAAGCATGGGCCATCCGAATAAGCAACAACACTCAGGTCGTTCGACTCTTTTCCCTACGCCTATAGGAATCCGAGCGCTTTTTTAGCATTTGTCAGCAGACGCGGCCGTCATCGCAGGCGCCGAACTTTTCTGTGCGCGTGAACCAAGCTGGAATTGCTCAGGTGGGTGTATTTGAGCATGGGCCACCTGAATATGCAACGACAGTCAGGTCGTTCGACACTTTTCCCTACGCGCATAGGGATCCGAGCGCTTCTTTAGCATTTGTCGGCAGACGCGGCCGTCATCGCAGGCGCCGAACTTTTCTATGCGCGCGAACCAAGCCGGAATTGCTCTGGTAGGTGTATTTAAGCATGGGCCACCCGTATAAACAACAACACTCAGGTCGTTTGACTCTTTAACCTACGCCTATAGGGATCCGAGCGCTTCTTTAGCATTTGCCGGCAGATGCGGCCGTCATCGCAAGCGCGGAACTTTTATGTGCGCGCGAACCAACCCGAAATTTCTCTGGTAGGTGTACTCAAGCATTGGCCATCTGAATAAGCAACAACATTCTGGTCGTTCGATGCTTTTCCCTACGCCTATAGGGATCCGTGCGCTTCTTTAGCATTTGTCGGCAGTCGCGGCCGTCATCACAGAACTTTTTTGTGCGCGCGAACCAAGCCTGAATTGCTTTGGTAGGTGTATTTAAGCATAGACCACCTGTATAAGCAACATCACTCAGCTCGTTCGACTCTTTTCCCTACGCCTATAGGGATCCAAGCGCTTCCTTAGCATTTGTCGGCAGACGCGGCCGTCATCGCAGGCGCCGAACTTTTCTATGCGTGCGAACCAAGCCGGAATTGCTCTAGTAGGTGTATTTGAGCATGGGGAACTCAAATATGAAACAACATTCATGTTGTTCGATGCCTTTCCCTATGCCTATAGGGATCCATGCACTTCCTTAGCATTTGTCGGCAGACACGGCCGTTGTCGCAGACGCCGAACTTTTTTCTGTGCGCGAGAACCAAGCCGGAATTGCTCTGGTAGGTTAATTTAAGCATGGGCCATCCGAATAAGCAACAACACTCAGGTCGTTCGACTCTTTTCCCTACGCCTATAGGAATTCGAGTGCTTTTTTAGCATTTGTCAGCAGACGCGGCCGTCATCGCAGGCGCCGAACTTTTCTGTGCGCGTGAACCAAGCTGGAATTGCTCAGGTGGGTGTATTTGAGCATGGGCCACCTGAATATACAACGACAGTCAGGTCGTTCGACACTTTTCCCTACGCGCATAGGGATCTGAGCGCTTCTTTAGCGTTTGTCGGCAGACGCGGCCGTCATCGCAGGCGCCGAACTTTTCTATGCGCGCGAACCAAGCCGGAATTTCTCTGGTAGGTGTATTTGAGCATGGGCCACCCGAATATGCAACAACATTTAGGTCGTTTGATGCTTTTCCCTACGCCTATAAGGATCCGTGCGCTTCCTTAGCATTTGTCGACAGACGCGGCCGTCATCGCAGGCGCCGAACTTTTTTGTGCGCGCGAACCAAGCCGGAATTGCTCTGGTAGGTGTATTTAAGCATTGGCCACCCGTATAGACAACAACACTCAGGTCGTTCGACTCTTTTCGCTACGACTATAGGGATCTGAGCGCTTCTTTAGCATTTGCCGGCAGACGCGACCGTCATCGCAAGCGCCGAACTTTTTTGTGCGTGCGAACCAACCCGAAATTGCTCTGGTAGGTGTATTTAAGCATGGGCCATCCGAATAAGCAACAACATTCATGTCGTTCGGTGCTTTTCCCTACGCCTATAGGGATCCGTGCGCTTCCTTAGCATTTGTCGGCAGTCGTGGCCGTCATCGCAGGCGCCGAAGTTTTTTGTGCGCGCGAACCAAGCCGGAATTGCTCTGGTATGTGTATTTAAGCATGGGCCACCCGTATAAACAACAACACTCAGGTCGTTCGACTCTTTTCGCTACGACTATAGGGATCTGAGCGCTTCTTTAGCATTTGCCGGCAGACGCGACCGTCATCGCAAGCGCCGAACTTTTTTGTGCGTGCGAACCAACCCGAAATTGCTCTGGTAGGTGTATTTAAGCATGGGCCATCCGAATAAGCAACAGCATTCATGTCGTTCGGTGCTTTTCCCTACGCCTATAGGGATCCGTGCGCTTCCTTAGCATTTGTCGGCAGTCGTGGCCGTCATCGCAGGCGCCGAAGTTTTCTGTGCGCGCGAACCAAGCCGGAATTGCTCTGGTAGGTGTATTTAAGCATGGGCCATCCGAATAAGCAACAACACTCAGGTCGTTCGATGCTTTTCCCTACGCCTATAGGGATCCGAGCGCTTCTTTAGCATTTGTCGGCAGACGCGGCCGTCATCGCAGGCGCCAAACTTTTCTATGCGCGCGAACCAAGCCGGAATTGCTCTAGTAGGTGTATTTGAGCAGGGGCAACTCGAATCTGCAACAACATTCAGGCCATTCGATGCTTTTCCCTACGCCTATAGGGATCCGTGCGCTTCCTTAGAATTTGTCGGTAGACGCGGCCATCAGCGGAGGCCCCGAACTTTTCTGTGCGCGCGAACCAAGCCGGAATTGCACTGGTAGGTGTATTTAAGCATGGGCCATCCGTATAAGCAACAACACTCAGGTCGTTCGACTCTTTTCCCTACGCCTATAGGGATCCGAGCGCTTCTTTAGCATTTGCCGGCAGACGCGGCCGTCATCGCAAGCGCCGAACTTTTATGTGCGCGCGAACCAACCCGAAATTGCTCTGGTAGGTTACTCAAGCATGGGCCATCCGAATAAGTAACAACATTCTGGTCGTTCGATGCTTTTCCCTACGCCTATAGGGATCCGTGCGCTTCCTTAGCATTTGTCGGCAGTCGCGGCCGTCATCACAGAACTTTTTTGTGCGCGCGAACCAAGCCGGAATTGCTTTGGTAGGTGTATTTAAGCATAGACCACCTGTATAAGCAACAACACTCAGGTCGTTCGACTCTTTTCCCTACGCCTATAGGGTTTCGAGCGCTTCCTTTGCATCTGTTGGCACATGCGGCCGTCATCGCAGGCGCCAAACTTTTCTGTGCGTGCGAACCAAGCCGAAACTGCTCTGGTCAGTGTATTTGAGCAAGGGCCACCCGAATATGCAACGAATTTTAGGTCGTTCGACGCTTTTCCGTACGCCTATAGGGACCCATGCGCTTCCTTAGCCTTTGTCGGCAGACGCGGCCGTCATCGCAGGCGCCGAATTTTTCTGTGCGCGCGAACCAAGCCGGAATTGCTCTGGTAGGTGTATTTCAGCATTGGCCACCAAAATATGCAACGAAATTCATGTCGTTCGACGCTTTTCCCTACGCCTATAGGGATCCGAGCACTTCCTTAGCATCTTCTCAGAGTTCTGTTATAGGGGTGCGGATTCTGTGGGATGTGCCATTCATCTTGCTCCGTCCCCTGCGTGCAACGTGTGTGTGTGCGTGTGGTGTGTATGATGCATATGATGTATGGTGGCAGAGCATGGGCAGGGATGACCGGGAGGCGGTGCGGGTGTTGGAGGAGATGAGGGGGGCGGACGAGCCAGCGGACCGGGGGAGCGCACAGCACAGCACAGCACAGCAGCAGGCGCGCGTGGACCAGGCCACGGCGACCACTCTCTGCCACGAGCCCGCCCTGCAGGTCCGCTCTCCAGTGACCACCGCTCTGCTCCCCTCTCTCCTCTCCTCTCCTCCCCTCTCTCCTCTCCTCTCCTCTCCTCTCCTCTCCTCTCCTCTCCTCTCCTCTTCTCGCCTCTACTCTCCTCTCCTCTCCTCTCATTTCCTCTCCTCTCCTCTCCTTTCCGCTATTCTCCTCTCCACGCACTTTCTCAGCTTAAGAGCTTTAGGTGAGAATTTTACTGCTAGCACATCACATCACATCACATCACACCACACACACACAGACACACATGCACACACACCTTACCGCTGCTGTTCACTTCAGACTCTGCGTCTCACTGTGGTCCGCACTTGCCCAGTGCCTGTCCACTACCCATTCCTCCCCAGTCTTCCATTCCTGCTCCTCTCCGCCACTTGTTGACCACTCTGGTTCCTCTTCTCTCCCTAGGGATGAGCATGAAGGTGGCCAGGGCCCGCCCGGAAATGCCCCGGGCCGGGCATCAGAATTTCGACGTGGGCTTGGGGCGGGTCGGGCTGGCCGTCGTTTGTGCAGCTCGATGTCAGTCTAAGCAAAGTCGTAACCCCACCTTGCGCTTAGCGCATAGCCTTTCGCCTAGCATAAGCTAACATTAGTAGGATCACCAAAGCTCTTAAAGTAGGTAGAAACACCCGCGCCCATGGGTTCGTAGTGCCCGTGACATGGCGCGACAGTTCTTATGTCCTAGACATGACATAACAACAGAACAGCTAAAAAATACAACCTATTAGAAACTATAGCAGGGCCGGGCCGGGCCGGCCCGGGTCGGGCCATGAAGAGCCCGTGTCGGGCCGGGCCAGGCACGGCCCGCCCGGCTTAAGGGCGGGCTCGGGCCAAGAGTTCCGTCCTACGGCCCGGGTCGGGCTGGGCCGGCCTGGCCCGCTTTTTTGCGCAGCCCGGGGTGGGCCCGACCCGGGCCGGGCCCGGCCCGCCCGGTGCTCATCCCTGCTCCCTGCCGCCTACCCACACCCCTTGTCACCACCACCCACCTCTCCACCCCCCCCAAACCTTCCACCTCCTCCCCCCTCCCCCCCCGCACGTGTGCAGTCGGACGCCCGCAGTGGCGTCTACCTGCGGTACGTGAGTCTGCTCTTCAGCGACAGCATATACCTGCCGGACGAGGCACTCCACAAGGTACCGCGGCTCAAGGAGGAGGAGGCGGCCATGGCGGACAAGGACCGCTGGCTGCAGCTGCTGCCCGCGGAGAGGCAGGCGCGCCAGCAGGACTACCGGAGGGACGAGTCGGTGGGTTCTTCTGGGGGCTTGGCGGTGGGCTCGTGGGGGTGCGTGGGGTCGGTGGGCTTGTTGCGGTGCGGCTGGTGGGTGGGTTGGGGTTGTTGGGGGTTAGACGTGTTTGGGAAAGGCTTAGTCCCCGCCACCTTGCTGCATTCACGGCCCTTGGCGCTACTGTGCCGTGGCCCGTCTAGGCCATGGGTTTCCTTCCCAGCGCCCTGTCTCATGCCGTGAGGTGCTTGTCCGCCTGTCCACCCACCCTGCATGCATGGTGCATGCATGTCCCTTTGTGTGTGTGCAGCATGAGATGGGAAAAGTGTCCGGTGGATTGGGATGGGGATGGGATGGGATGGAGGTGGGGGTGATGGTGATGGGGTGGCATGTGCGAGATGGTCAAGAATTCTAGCCACACACCACCTCTTAAAGCCTGGCCTCGTATGGTCCCTCCCACAGGGTCCCATTCTGCACCATCTTCGCTTAGTTACCTCTGCTCCCTCTCCCAACCTAGCCTCATCTCCCCTCTCCCCCACCCTCTCCTCCCCTCTCTCTGTGTTCACCGCCCCGCACCAGTCGTTCCCCTGGGCAGTGGCAGTGATGGGTTGGGTGCTGCCAGGGGACGTGGTGCGGCCGTTCATGGGGCTAGCAGCGCATGCCACGGCACGTGCAGCGGAGGCTATGGATGTAGCAATAATCGGCCGCATCCCCAACGAATTCCTTGAGCCCATCCAGGTGTGTGGCGGCCTCTATACTCCGTCCTCTCCGTCCTTGCGTATGCTCTGCTCTGCTGTGCCATTTCGTGCCGTGCCGCACTGTGCTGTGTTGTGTTGTGTTGTGCCATGCTGTAGCCCTGCTCTGTTCTTTGTCTCTGTTTCCTGTGCTGCAGCCCCTCTGCTTCTTCACTCTCCAGCCCGTGCGCACCTCATGCCATGTGTCCTCACGTGTGCTGCATTGCTTCAGCCGCCTGGCTGCTGGGTGCTCGTTCCCCCTACCCTCACCCCTTCCCCCGTGCTGCTGCTCCCTGTGCGTGCGTGGCAGTGCATGTTGATGCGTGACCCGGTGACGCTGCCATCGGGCAACGTGGTGGACCGCCCTGTCATCCTCACACACCTGCTCAACCACCCGGTGCGTGCTCCATGCCATGCCATGCCATGCCATGCCATACATGCCATGCCATGCCTCACCATATTATGAGATGCACAAGGGCATCCAGCTGTTCCATGCACGAGCCATCACTTAAAGGCCATGCGCCACAGTGAGCCACATGCCATGCATATCACCGCCACCCCCACACCACCTCTCTGTCTGTCCATAGCCGTGCTAGCGTAGGGATCCCCAGGGTAGCCCAGGGTAACCCTAGGTAAGGGAAGACGCCCAGGGAAGACCAGGGATGCAAATCATAGAATCAGGGTAGCACAGGGTAGAAGGGTATGAGGGCAAAACGCCGGATCCACGCGGATATGAGGGCGAATTGCGGTCCCGCGCGGATATGAGGGTGAAATGCCGGATCCGCGCGGATATGAGGGCGAAATGCCGGACCCGCATCCTCCCTCGCCCTTCCCCTTGCTCGCCCTTCCCTTTGCTCGCGTAGGGATCCCCAGGGTAGCCCAGGGTAACCCTAGGTAAGGGAAGACGCCCAGGGAAGACCAGGGATGGAAAGAATAGAAACAATGTAGCACAGGGTAGAAGGGTATGAGGGCGAAACGCCGGATCCATGCGGATATGAGGGCGAATTGCGGACCCGTGCGGATATGAGGGCGAAATGCCGGATCCGCGCGGATATGAGGGCGAAATGCCGGACCCGCATCCTCCCTCGCCCTTCCCCTTGCTCGCCCTTCCCCTTGCTCGCCCTTCCCCTTGCTCGCCTCTTTCTTTGCTAGCGTAAGGATCCCCAGGGTAGCCCAGGGTAACCCTAGGTAAGGGAAGACGCCCAGGGAAGACCAGGGATGGAAAGCATAGAAACAGGGTAGCACAGAGCAGAACATGAGAGATCAGGGGAGAATAGAGGAAAACAGGGGAGAACAGGGGAGAACAGAGCCTTCTGTTCTCTCGCCCTTTTTCCTTCCCCGCCCTTCCCTCTCTTCGGCCTTCCAGTTCTTTGTCTTATGAGACATGAGCAGAGAGTTTCCTGTCTCTCTTTAAGACATTTTTCGACATAACAAAATTCAGAATGCACGAAGCTAGACTACCCCGCCCTCCCCTACTCACCCTCTTCCGTCACCGAAGGTTCGGCCCGCCAGTCAAGCTTGACCTGCGAGTCCTGTGACCAGCCCTTACGAAGCTGAGCTGGCCTGAAACAAGCCCTGAAATATCCAGAAAGCAGCCGAATCTAGCCATTAATTTCGGGCCTCTTTGATTTCTGCCCTGAGCCATTCGCTTAGAAAGCGTAATTCAGCTACCTACTCTACCGAGCAGAGCAGGCTGGTTGTGGAGGGTAGATGGTTGCGAGGGAGAGAAGAGGGACACGTACTCGGTCAGGAAGAACGAGGGGAAGGAAGGAGTGGGAGGGGGGAGACCACAGTTGAATTCACTCCACTCAAAGTTGCTTCACTTCGTCTCAGTCCGAATCGTCATCACGCTTCATGCTCATTTCCCTCCCTCACCCTCCCCTCCCTCACCTTTCCTTTATATGCCTGCATGTTCCCCTTTCTATCCCCTCAGCCAGCAAATATTTTTTTTCTTGCAAGATGCTTCAGATGCTCCCTCTCCCCACTTGCCAACCCGTCCTCTCTACTCCCTCGCCTGACACATGGGACGGCATGGCATGGGACGCCGTTGCTCGGCTTGGCAGGGCATGGCAGGACAGGGCACAGCATTGTACCGCATGGCAGGGCATGTCATGGGATGGCATGTCATGGCATGGCATGGCATGGCATGGCAAGGAAATGGCAGGCACGTGGCGAGAAGAAGGGAGCTGGGTGGCCCTCTTGCCGTGCATGCGCTCCTCCCTCCTGCGCCCACAGCTGCTCGCCCACCCACTCCTCCCTTTCCTCCTGCATGGAGTGAGGGAGGGGCGCGTTGCATGGTTGAGGTGCGTGGTGCATGGGGTGAGGGGCACTCCACCTGCAATCCTGCCGGCGCGCACTCACCATCCATCCACGTACACCCGCTTCCCCTCTCTCTTTCCTCCCGTCCTCCCGCCCACCCCCTACCCCTGCCCCCCACACCACCCTGCTTGACCTCCCTGCTCCCCTTCCTCGTGCGCCTCTGCCTCTCCCCCTCCCCCTTTCCTTTGCAGGCGCGGCGTGCTGCTGCTAGAGGCGCTGGTGTTGCCCCTGCATCGTGCGCCCCGCCTCGCCCTCTGCCACCTCGTCACATGCTCGCACGCCTCCCCATCCGCCACCCACCATTCTTCCTCTCCTTTCCTCGTCCTTCCTTCGCACCTCCGCGCCCCTCCCCCTCGCACGTCCGCACTGCTGCTGCTGGTGGTGGTGGTGGCAAAGGTGGTGGGGATGGCGGCGGTGGCAGTGGCACGGTGGTGCGGCGAAGGAAGAGGAGAGGCGTGAGGCGCCGTGGCGTAACGAGGAGGCCTTTCGTGTTCTGCTCTGCGCGCTGTGATCTGCCTGTGCATGTCCTGTTCTCCACATGCTCCTTCTCCCATGCCCACTCCCACCCCACCCACCTCGCTCATCCACATTTCAGACGTCGCATGGCGTGCCATGGCATGGCGTGGCATGGCGGCGTGGCATAATGTGGCATGGCGGCGTGGCATAATGTGGCATGGCGTGGCATAATGTGGCATGGTGTGGCATAATGTGACATGGCAAGGCATAATCCGGCATGGCAAGGCATGGTATGGTACGGCATGACTTGGCATGGTATGGTACGGCGTGGTTTGGCATGGAATGGCATGGAATGGTGTGGCATGGAATGGAATGGCGTGCATGACATGGAATGCCCTGGCATGGTATGGCATGGTGCAGTGCTGAGCAGGCATGTTGGGAGCTTGGACCATGGCTGGGGTGGGCAGGCAGGCGGGCCGCCAAGGCTGGGAGCATGGGCACAGGGACAGGAGCGAGTGGAGGCGACATGCTCACCTGTCGCCACGGCGAGGCCAGCCAATGTGCCTGTGCTGTGGTGCTGTGGTGTGGCGAGAGCAGCACGAGCGGACTTGCATTGCTTCCCACCACGCCACGCTCTGGGTGATGGCCACACCAATGATCAGGGCGACAGGTGATGGGCCATGGTTGATGGGGGATGGTTGGTGGGGGATGGGGCATGTGTGATGGCCGATGGGGGATGGGGGATGGGGGAAGGAGGATGGGGTTTGGGGGATGGATGATGGGTCCCTTTCCTGTACCGCTCTCATGTTTCAATCTCCCTTCCCTTCCCCACCCTTCCCCTTCCCTCGCCCTTCCCCTTCCCTCGCCCTTCCCCTCCCTTCCCTTCACGTTCGTTGTCTTATGAGACATGAGCAGCAGTTTTTTTTTCCCTGGCTTAAACAAGGTTCGACGAAACATGGTCGCGAATGCACACAAGCAACCCCACCCTCCTTCCCCCCCCTGTCCCCCAAGTTTCGGCCCGCCAGTCAAGCTCATGTCCTTCCCATCCCTCGCCCTTTTCCTTTCTCGCCCGCCCCTCTCTCTCTTTTGCAGGTGTGAAGCTGCGATGGGGCATGCGAGTGGGTGCGAGTGGGTGCGATGGGGCATGCGAGTGGGTGCGAGTGGGTGTGATGGGGCATGCGAGTGGGTGCGAGTGGGTGCGATGGGGCATGCGAGTGGGTGCGGGTGGGTGAGAGCGTGCTGGTCGCGGGTGTTCAGCCTGGGCGCATGCCTCGATCATGCCTCGTGCCGCCAGGGACTAGCCACATGGCTCAAAGCTCATGCATGGTGGGTGCTGCCTGATGCTTGATGGCTGATGGTGGGTGGGGGATGAGAGGTGGGTGATGGGAGCAGAGTAACCACAGGGGTGTGCAAAGGTTAGAAATGCTAACTATAGGCGTTCAGACGAGGCCATGAGTGTGAAGACCTGCCCGCTCTCCCCCCTCTCATCTCTCATGCCACCGCCCTCCACCAACGCCCCCCATTCCATTCTGCCTGGTACCTTGTGCTGCACTGCTGCCGCCACCCACACGCCCACGTCCCCCTGCTGTGGCGTCACCACAACACGACGCACGCGCAAGGCACTTGCGCACAAGGCGCTCTCCCCCCCCCCCCCTCCACCCAATCATCATCTTTCCTCCACCAACGCTACTGTCATTTCCTGTATATGCCTGCATGCTCCCCTTTCTCTCCCCTCAGCCACCAAAGAAAATCCTTCTCTTGCGAGATGCTTTACATTCAATGAGCATCGATTCAAGTGCTTCAAATGCTCCTTCCTCTCTTCCCCTTGCTCCCTCTCCTGACATGGCATGGCATGGCACGGCATGGCAGGGCATGGCAGGGAACAGCATTGCTCGGCATGGCAGGACATGGCATGGCAAGGCATGCCCAGAAGAAGGAAGCTCGCTCGACGCAGCTCGCTCACCCTCCCCCCTCCACGTGCTCCTTCCCCTCCTCCTCCGCCCACAGCTGCTCGCACACCCGCTCCGCCCGCAAGCCTTTCCCGCGTGGCTCTCTGCACCGGTGTGCTCCGCGCACGCCATGGGGATGACACACACGCAAGGGGAGTGTGGCTTAGCGACGGTGAGTGGCGCGCGCTGCATGGGGTGAGGGGCACGCTGCATGGGGTGAGGGGCACGCTGCATGGGGTGAGGGGCACGCTGCATGGGGTGAGGGGCACGCTGCATGGGGTGAGGGGCACGCTGCATGGGGTGAGGGGCACGCTGCATGGGGTGAGGGGCACGCTGCATGGGGTGAGGGGCACGCTGCATGGGGTGAGGGGCACGCTGCATGGGGTGAGCGGGGCGGTGCATGGGGTGAGCGGGGCGGTGCATGGGGTGAGCGGGGCGGTGCATGGGGTGAGCGGGGCGGTGCGTGGGGTGAGCGGGGCGGTGCATGGGGTGAGCGGGGCGGTGCATGGGGTGAGCGGGGCGGTGCATGGGGGCATGGTGCATGGGGGCATGGTGCATGGGTGTTCCTTACGGGGGGTTGGGTGCTTGGAGCCGAAGGGGCGCTCCGCCTGCACATCTCGCCCGCTTGCATCCACCTTCCCATCCACGCACACCCTCCTCCGCGCTCTCTTTCCTCCCGCCCACCCCCCTACCCCCGTCCCTCACACCACTCTGCGTAATCCCGTTGCTCACCTTCCTCCTCCGCCTCCGCCTCTGCCCCTCCCGGTCCCCCTTTCCCCTGCAGGCATGGCTCTGCTAGAGGTGCTGGTGAAGGCCATGCTCCGCGTGCCGCTGCCACCGCCCACACTCGCCACTCTCGTGCGCTACTTGGCTCTCGGCATTGTGCGCCCCGCCCCGTCCCGCCCTCTGCCGCCTCGTCCCATGCTCACACGACTCCCGCCCGCCACCCACCATTCCTCCTCTCCCTTCCTCGCCCCTCCTTCGCACCTCCACGTACCGCCCCCTCGCACGTCCTCACTGCTGCTGCTGCCGGTTGTGGGGGTGGTGGTGGTGGTGGTGGGGATGGCGGCGGTGGCAGCGGCACGGTGGTGCGGCGTGTGGCGCCGTGGCGTGGCGAGAGGCCTTTTGTGTGCTCCTCTGCGCTCTGTGAGCTGCCTTGTGCGTGTCCGATGTGGGGCGCGGTGAGTGGGGGAGGGGGAACGGAGGTGGGAGACTTGAGTCTGGATGGGTGATGGGTTTGGGTGATGCGTGGGCGGATGTGAGTCGGTGCATGCGCTCTTGCAGTGAGCACGAATCATCGGTTTTCACCTACCTCGCCATGCCTCTCCCTCCCTTCATCCATCCCTCCGTCCCCGCCTCACATGCGCACTGCACTCCTCCTCCCTCCGAATGCGTCCCTTCCCACCCTGCCTTTTCCCCCCCGGTTGGCAGGGCTGGGGCTGAGCGAGGAGGTGCAGGCGATGGCGGGAGTGACACGGCACGTGGTGCATTGCTGTGAAGGGCGGGGATGAGGCCAAAGCGGAGCTCCAAGCACTCGAGCTCTGCACCACCTGTGCCACGCCAAGCTATGCGCCCTCTCACTCGCCCCTTCTCTGTGCTCCAAGGGTGAAGCCTCCTGCCCTTCTTGCAACACCCCAATTGCATGGTCATTCAATCCTCCGCTCAGTATGTCACTCCTGTGCCGAGTCCATTCATGCCACTTCATTTATCCTCCTCCTCCGCTGTCCCACCTCCTATCCTTTCCCACCTCCTCGTCTCGCACTTGTCTTGTAACTCACCTTTCTGACCTCTTCCCTGCGTGCCCCCTTCCCCGCATGCCCCCTTCCCCGTGTGCCCCCTTAACTGCGTGCCCCCTTTCCCTGCGCCCCCCTTTCCATGCACCCCCCTTTCCATGCACCCCCCTTTCCCTGCGCCCTCCCCCCAGGAGGCAAGCTGCCCAAGGGAGTGCTGCTGGTGGGAGCTCCCCCCGGGACTCGGGCAAGGCGATGCTGGCGCGGGCGATAGCGGGCGAGGCGGCGGGGGTGCCCTTCGTCGGCGCGCCTCAGGAGGCGGCGCCCTGCATCGTGTTTCCGGCTGGGTGATATAGACGCCACGTCATAGGCGGCAGACGCAACGCACTTCCAAGGAGGGCCAGCAGTGCATTGCACTTCCAAGGGGATGACGCGGGGCTCAATCAGCTGCTGGTGGAGCTGGGCTGGGCATGCTTGTGCTTGCCACGTGCTCGTGCCTGATCCCGATGTGGACGGGTGGCGGCAGATCCTCGAATACCACTTCGCAAGGTGCAGTACGGTGGCCGTGGGTGCTGCATGCATGGGTGCTGCATGCGTGGGTGCAGAGAAGTGTGCTGCAGCACATTCAGCTGACTATTGCAATTTTACAACTCATTTTATATTGCTCAATCCGCTTGTTGTGAGAAATGCATGAGCTACAAAACTTGTTTCCATCCTCTGTTCTTTCTCGGTCTTGTCTCCCCGTTTCCACCATGCCACGCTCCCCTCCTCTCCTCTCCTCCTCTCCTCTTTTCCACTCCTCTCCCTGTGCCTCCTTTCCTCCACTGCAGCAGTGCATGCATGCCTAGAGCTCCTCTCATCATTCGTTCCTCCGCCTGCCCCTCTCATATGGCATTGTGCAACGCCATGATTGTACGTGGCATGATGGCATGACACATGGCATGGCATGGCATGTGGCAATGGCCCTTGGCTTTGGTGTGCAGGGTGGCTTGGCGTGTGGCATGGTGGCATGGTCTGCAGGTGGGCAGGTGTTGGGGCTGGCAGGGCAACTGCCGCAGAATCCCTGCCATGGGAGTGTGCTGCATAGCGGCGGGGTGCAAGGCGGTGCAGGAGGTGCGGTGGTGCGCTCCACGGTCCACCTCTCCTACACCAAGGCAAGCCAACCCACTCGCCTCGCCCCCAACCCATCGCCCACACTCCCTCCCTTCCTTGCTTCCATATTCCCTCTCACGCAATGTGCCCAATTCTTTCCCCTCCAATCCCTTACTCTTTCCTACTCTCCCCTCCTCTCCCCGTCTCCCGCTGACGTTATCTCCCACCCCCCCCCACTGTCTTGGCTGGCTGGCAGGTGACGGAGGCGGCTATGCCACTCAGGTCAGGTACCACTCGGGGCACGCAGGTCGCAGGTCGCACCCAGGGCACTCAGGTACCACTCGGGGCAGGTCTAGCGTTCGTTTGACGCGCTGACGCACCATGTCCGAGGGCATCACGCTCTGACAAGTAGGAAACAAAAATGCCCGAGCAGGCAAAACAAAGCGGCAGCAGAGGAACTCCACCGCCAACAAGAGTGGGAGTAAGCAGAGAGAAGGACATGTGGGGAAAAAAACGGCTTGGCAGGAACGAATGCTGAGAAATTGGTCGATGGATAATGAAACCCTTGAAAGCGTGGGAAATGAGAGTCGGAGTTGAGATTGTGGCATGAGGGTTGGGTTGAACAGAATCTTCACGGTGAAGGGTGCTAGGTGGCATGGGTTTGTTTTGGGGTCGATTGTGAGGTGTTTCTGACGAGTTGGTCCTGGGGATCGTGATTTCGTCGCAAATCGTGACTCATACATTCTTCGCGGATTATTCCCGATTCTGTACGATTTCGGGCTGCCAAAAAGTTTTACCCTGAGCGTCAAGCGTTTTGATGTTTTGACGCTTGACGCTACCCCTTTCTAGCATCAAATCCATCATTGGGGTAACCCTAGGTAAAGGAAGACAGCTCGGGAAGACCAGGGATGGAAAGCATAGAAACCGGGTAACACTCGGTAGAAAGGTATGAAGGCAAAACGCTGGACCCGCGCCGATATTATTGCTAAATGCCGGACCCGCATCCTCCCTCGCCCTTCCCCTTGCTCGCCCTTCCCCTTGCTCGCCCTTCCTCTTGCTAGCGTAGGGATCCCCAGGGTAACCCTAGGTAAGGGAAGACGCCCAGGGAAGACCAGGGATGGAGAGCATAGAAACTGAAAGCACAAGGCAGAAGGGTATGAGGGCGAAACGCCGGACCCGCGCGAATATGAGGGCCAAATGCCGGATCCGCGCGGATATGATTGCTAAATGCCGGACCCGCATCCTCCCTCGCCCTTCGCCCTTCGCCTTCGCCCTTCCCCTTGCTCGCCCTTCCTCTTGCTAGCGTAGGGATCCCAAGGGTAGCCCAGGGTAACCCTACATCGGAAAAATCCCTGGTTAGCCAAACACAGGCCCGAGGGATTTGCCCGTGAGTCCTCTGAGGGGGGGGGGGCAAATGGAAACCATAGGTTTCCTGCTGGATGTGTCGGTCGAACTAGAAATTATCGAAACTGACGACTGATCGTTTATTTTCTGTCTCAATCTACCATTCATTGGGCTGACTGGAACGGCCGAGGTTCGACAGTTTAGGGTCAGGTCCGTGTCGAGCTGGTTTTGATGAGACACAGCCGTGAATTGTGCCACGTACTCTCCCTTCGTAACTTTGCCACTGTTTGCCCATTCAGGGCTGGTTTGTTTTGAAGTCGCGGGTGTCGCGATCTGGTTACAGGTTTCACATTTCGTTGCATGTGGCATTTGCTTTGTCCTGTAGTGTTGGGACATCGTGTTTTTTTTTTCTGACTCCTTGCTTCTCAGTTTTCACTTTAACCGATATACGTTGGCTCGTTTACATTGTGTGCAGGTTTTCTGTTTTACATGTGTTTTATGTTATCTGCAGTATGCAGGTAATTTGTTTTAGAATTCCAGACACTACGCACTGGTTTTCGACATTCGTCCTACTGTTTATAGGGTACTGTTTTGTAATTGGTACATAGCGGTTATTGTAAGTTGGATTTCCGATTTAATCAATGATTTGCTCAGATACTAGCCTTAGTGTTATTAGTGAGTGTATGTAAATTTATACACATGATGACGGATAACTTGCGTAATTTACATTTGCATGGTCGCAAAATATTGGTGTGCTTGTGTTGTTTTAGTATTGTATGTTATAGGTTTATGTATTTAACTATTATGATTGTTCTTGTATTGTGCATACAGTATGTTACTATGCAACGCGTCCGTTTGTTTTGTCGTACACGACCAGGTTGAATACGTTGGTTGACACGTGTGTTTCCCGCCACAATTTTGTCAATGCTGTTTGGTGACGCTGTGCGATTTTTCGCGAGTCGCGCTAGTTCACATTTGGGTGATTTGGCGCGTTCTCACTCGTTCACCCGCGTTTGACCAGCCGTGTCGCTTTGTAACATTCAGGTTTGGTCGCGGGTCAGTTTGAAGTGCTCACGCTTTGGTTTCGAGTGGGTAGCCCGTATGCCTTAAGTGATGTTTAGCTGCCTAAGTGATGTTTAGCTGCCTAACCCGGATGCATAGTATTAGTCCTGGCCATATCGCATTTCCCTGCGAACTGATAACACACCCTGCCATTGTATTAAGGTGGATGTTGTTTAAAGGGCACCTTTTGTCAGTTCTTAGCAAAGGTGGCGTTTCACTTTGTACCCCTGTTTTTAAACGTTGTGTTGGGTATCAGCCCGTCGGGTTGAGGGCAGAGTTTTAGGCACCACAGACTCCCATGCTTTGGCCCCAAACCTATCGACAGGCCTGCTTAGGGGGCAAGGAACTCAGTCATCAGTTCTGCTCGAAGTCTTGTGTCTGGAATTCCGAATTCCAAATTCGTCCATGTTCCCAAACTCGACACGATTCCAAGCCCCAAAAATCCGTGCATTCCGCCTCCGCAACAATTTCTTGCGGTTAGCTGCGATTTAAGTACTGAAGTTGGGGTTAGGCTACACTTGCGGCCACTGGTGGCGGCTAATCCGCGAGCTTTTTTCCAGCCGGTGGTTCATTCACCTTGAAGTGGCGATCTCAGAAGGTGAGTTATTTAGCTTCATGGAGCCCCCGCCGCCCACTCCTTCTCCGTCGCTCTCGCTTTCCCCCTTCACACTCCCCTTAGCCCGTCGCCCTCGCTTTCCCCTCGTCGTCATTGCTTCCCCCGTCGGTCTCGCTTTCCCCCGCCGCACACTCCTTCCCCCGTCTCTCTCGCTTTCCCCCCCTGCCCACTCCTTCTCCCGTCGTTCTCGTTTGCCCCTGTCACCCACTCCTTCCCCCATCGCACTCGCTTTCCCACGTCGCCTCTGGCTTTCCCCCGTCGTCCTTGCTTCCCCCATCGCCCTCGCTTTCCCCCGTCGTCATTGCTTTCCCCCGTTGCTCTCACTTTCCCCCGCCGCCCACTCCTTTCCCCGTCTCTATCGCTTTCCCCCGCCACCCACTCCTTCTCCCGTCGTTCTCGTTTGCCCCTGTCACCCACTCCGTCCCCCGTCGCTTTCGCTTTCCCCCGCCGCCCACTCCTTCCCCCGTCGCTCTCGCTTTCCCCTGCCGCCCACTCCTTCCCCCGTCGCCTCTGGCTTTCCCCCGTCGTCCATGCTTCCCCCATCGCCCTCGCTTTCCCCTCGTCGTCATTGCTTCCCCCGTCGGTCTCGCTTTCCCCCGCCGCACACTCCTTCCCCCGTCTCTCTCGCTTTCCCCCCCTGCCCACTCCTTCTCCCGTCGTTCTCGTTTGCCCCCGTCACCCACTCCTTCCCCCGTCGCACTCGCTTTCCCCCGTCGCCTCTGGCTTTCCCCCGTCGTCCTTGCTTCCTCCATCGCCCTCGCTTTCCCCCGTCGTCATTGCTTTCCCCCGTTGCTCTCGCTTTCCCCCGCCGCCCACTCCTTCCCCCGTCTCTCTCGCTTTCCCCCGCCGCCCACTCCTTCTCCCGTCGTTCTCGTTTGCCCCCGTCGCCCTTTCTCTACCCCGTCGCCCACACTTGTCACCGTCCCCCACGCTTTCCCGAGTCGCACACGCGTTCCCCGGCGCCCACACTTGTCACCGTCCCCCGTCGCTCTTGCTTTCCTCTGTCATCCTCCCTCCCTTTCCTCTGTCGTCATTACTTCCCCCATCGCCCTCGTTTTCCCCCGCCGCCCACTCCTTCTTGTCAGATTTATATGACTTAGCTGCTGTAGGCTATAGTGGGGTAGCACATATGGGGTACAGCTTTCTAGGGTTTGTACTTGTACCCAACTTTCCCTTAGTCTTTTCATTCCTCGTTCATTTTCACATGGTATAGAGCAGGTTCCCCTGTGGGAACTGTTCCTAGGGCCCACCAACTTTTTTTTCCTGCCCGGAGCGCGCTCAGCCTCTGCCCGAGTCGTGCTCCCCTCTCACGGCCCCGTCGCGCCGCCCTTACGACCCCGTCGCGCCGCCTCAGCGGCCCCGTCGCGTCGCGCCTCCCTAGCGGCCCCGTCGCGTCGCCCTTGCGACCCCGTCGCGCCGCCCTCGCGGTCCCGTCGCGTCGCGCCGCCCTCGCGGCCCTTTCGCGCCGCCCTCGCGGCCTCCTCGAGCCGCCCTCGCGACCCCTCCACGCCGCCCTCGCGGCCCCGTCGCCTACCCTTGCGGCCCCGGCGCCACCCTTCCCGGCCCCGGCGCCGCCCTTCCCGGCCCCGGCGCCGCCCTTCCCGGCCCCGGCGCCGCCTCTGCTGGCCCCGTCGCCCCACCCTTGCGACCCCGCGGCCCCACCCTTAAGGCGCCGGTCGCCACCCTTCGTGGCCCCGCCGCCGCCCTCAGCGGCCTCGTCGCCGCCCCACCTGGCCCCGCCGCCGTCCCCACGCGGCCCCGCCGTCACCACCGAGCCGCCGGCGCCGCTGAGCCGCCGATCTACCGAGCCGCCGCTGCTGCCGAGCCGCCCGAGCCACCCGAGCCGCCCGAGCCGCCGAGCCACCTGAGCCGCCCGAGCCGCCGAGTCGCCGAGCCGCCGAGCTCCAGTTGCTGCCGAGCCGCCGTGCCGCCGAGCCGCCCGAGCCGCCCGAGCCGCCGAGTCGCCGAGCCGCCGAGCTGCAGTTGCTGCCGAGCCGCCGAGCCGCCGAGCCGCCCGAGCCGCCCTGTCCGGTAAGAGCGGCACCTCTACCACTGCGCTGCCCTTACCCTACTGCTCCAGCTGCTAGTCTACTGCTGTCATGGCTACCCCCAGTGTCCTCGCTTTTGACGCTGAGGGTCGGGCCATTGACTTTGACGTCTGGGTAGATGACCTGCAGCTTTTCCTACAGTGCGACAGGGCAGACGGTCTCTCTCTCTTTGACCTCACTTCTGGTGCCTCTTCTGCCCCTGCTGCTGATGCTGACGCCACTGTTCGCTCACAGTGGGCCACACGCGACGCTGCTGCCCGTCTTGCTGTGCGCCGCCACTTGCCTACCGCTGAGTGTGCACACTTTAGTCAGTACAAGAGTGCTAAGACCTTGTACGACGCTGTAGTTGCACGCTACTCTTCCCCTGCCACTGCTGCACTTAGCCGCCTCATCCTGCCGTACCTCTTCCCTGACCTCGCCGCTTTTCCCACAGTCGCTGACCTCATTACGCACCTGCGCACTAGTGACACTCGCTACCGCGCTGCCCTTCCTCCTGAGTTCTGTGCCAAGAACCCCCCCCCTATGTACATCACCCTCTACTACGTAGTCACCCAGCTCCCTGACACCCTTCGCCCGGTCAGGGACCACTTTCTCTCTGTTTGCCCCACCACCCTCACCGTTGACCTCCTCGAGGAGCGCCTCCTAGCAGCAGAGAAGAGCATAGTCGCTGTAGGAGCCTCTCGTGGTGACCCTCGTGCCCCTGTCTTTGAGGGGTGCTCCCCCTCTCCTCTCTTGCCCTCTGTTGCCTCTGCTGCTGCGGCCGACCTCGTTGGTCTTGAGTCGGTCGGTGCGGCGTCTGCCCCTAGCGGGAGACGCCGCACTGGCAAGGGCAAGGGGGGCAGGGGCGCTGGAGGAGCTAGCGGGGGCGGTGGAGGCGGCGGTGGAGGCGGCGGAGGGGGTGGGGGTGGCGGTGGGGGTGGTGGCCGGGGTGGGGGCGTCAGTGGCGGCAGTGGAGGCGGAGGCGGCGGCGGCGGTGGCGGTGGGAGCGGAGGTGGCGGAGGTGGCGGCGGTGGAGGAGGCGGCGGCGGAGGAGGTGGAGCTGGTCGGGGTGGCGCTGCGCAGAGGGTCGGCTCCGGTGGTGGTCAGCGCCAGCAGCAGCAGCGCACTCGTGAGATCCCCCCCCCTCAGCAGCTTCGTGAGTGGTACGCTGCACGCCAGCGGGGTGGGGGTACTGGTCCGTGCACCTACGTCCTACGCACTGGCGACCGCGCGGGTGAGCCGTGCGGGGGTGCGCACTCCACCCAGCGCTGCTTTGGCCGCCTGACGGACGCTTGGCGTCACCAGTTCCCTGAGGCCACTGAGATCCCTCGCTGGGGCGAGCTGTCTAGGGCGGGAGTAGCTATCTTTGACCTTGACTTTGATGCTATTCTTGCTGCCATGTATGCTGTGACTATTAGTGATGAGGGTGACTGTTACTGGTGTTTTCCGCCCGACCCGGGCATTGGGACTGCTGCTCTAGGTACTGGTGAGGCTGCTGCTCTAGGTGCTAGCGAGGCTGCTGCTCTAGGTGCCAGTGCGTCTGCTTCCTCAGGTGCTGGTGAGTCTGCTCTCTCAGGTACTGCGTCGGCTCCGGCCTCCCACACCTTCACTCTTGACTCGGGGGCTTCTCGCTCCTTCTTTCGAGACCGCACCACACTCACGCCGCTTGGTCGGCCAGTTGCAGTCTCTCTGGCAGACCCCTCTGGGGGTCCTGTCCTTGCTCACTTCTCCACTGTCCTCCCGTGTCCGGCGGCCCCCTCTGGCACCCTGTCTGGTCTTTACCTCCCCTCGTTCTCTACGAACTTGGTGAGTGGTGCTGACCTACAGGATGCGGGGGTTCACCAGTTCACTCCTGCGAGCCAGCGTGTGACCCACTGCACGGACGCTCGGATGGGCCGACACTTGGCCACGTTTACACGTCGGCCGGGGTCGAGCCTGTACACACTGACCACTGAGTCTCCTCCAGTCACTGCGTCTGGTCAGGCAGCTGCGTCGGGTCAGGTGTTTGCTGCAGCGTCCAGGTCTGGTCCTGAGTCTGCCCCCTGCTCGTGTCGCCTCCTGTCTCACGAGACTCTCCTCTGGCACCACCGCCTTGGTCACCCCTCCCTGCCTCGTCTCCGAGGCATGGCCTCCCGTGTCCTTGTCTCTGGTCTTCCCCGGTCCCTCCCTCCCCTTCCTCCAGGGCCTGCCCCTACCTGCGTCCCCTGTGTCGAGGGGCGGCAGCGTGCTGCCCCTCACTCCTCCCAGTTTCCTCCGACAGAGGCCCCGCTGCAGACGCTTCACATGGACGTGTGGGGCCCGGCCCGCGTCCGTGGACAGGGTCACGAGCGCTACTTCCTGCTGGTGGTTGACGACTACTCGCGTTACACCACAGTCTTCCCCTTGTGCAGCAAGGGTGATGTCACTGAGGTGTTGATCGACTGGATCCGCGCAGCTCGTCTCCAGCTCAGAGAGAGTTTCGGCTCGGACTTTCCTGTTCTGCGTCTGCACTCTGACAGAGGCGGAGAGTTCTCCTCTGGCCTTCTGCGAGCCTACTGTCGTGCACGAGGCATCCGCCAGACCTTCACGCTTCCGGACTCTCCACAGCAAAATGGGATTGCTGAGCGCCGCATTGGCATGGTCATGGACGTCGCCCGTACGTCCATGATGCATGCGACTGCCCCCCATTTTCTGTGGCCGTTTGCGGTTCGGTACGCGGCGCATCAGATCAACCTTCAGCCCAGGGTCTCCATGCCGGAGACCTCCCCAGCTTTGCTGTGGATGGGGAAGGTTGGCGATGCGTCTGCGTTCCGTGTCTGGGGATCTCGGGCGTTTGTCCGCGACTTGTCTGCGGACAAGCTGTCCCCTCGTGCTGCTCCCTGCGTCTTCCTTGGCTTCCCCCCTGACGCGCCAGGGTGGCAGTTCTACCACCCCACCTCTCGCCGTGTTCTGTCCTCCCAGGACGTCACGTTTGACGAGTCGGTCCCCTACTACCGTCTCTTCCCCTACCGCACTCCGTCCCTCCCCCCGCCACCACTCTTCCTTGTGCCAGGTCCCCCCCCGGTAGACCCCCTTCCCCCTCAGGGTCCTGCCCCTTCAGGTGTGTCCCAGGTAGACGCAGTCGAGCCTGTGGAGGTCGCTGGTGACTCTGGTGCTGCTGGGGGTGCTGAGCCTGGGGGTGCTGACTCTGGGGGTGCTGAGCGTATGGGTGCTACGCCTGGGGGTGCTGAGCCTGGGGGTGCTGAGCCTGAGGGTGCTACGACTGGGGGTGCTGAGCCTGGGGGTGCTGAGTCTGGGGGTGCTGAGCCTGGGGGTGCTACGACTGGGGGTGCTGAGCCTGGGGGTGCTACGCCTGGAGGTGCTGAGCCTGGGGGTGCGGAGCCTGAGGGAGCTGGGCCTGCTCGTGTGGCGTCTGGCGGTGCTGGGCCTGGAGGTTCTCTGGGTGCTCCGTCTCGACGGGAGCCACTCTCTCCACAGGAGGTGCGTGAGTGGTTTGCCCGACGCTGGAGGCGAGCTGCTGGAGCTGGAGGTTCTTCGGCTGCTGAGGGTGCTGGTGCCACGGGTCCCGGAGGTGCTCGTACTGGGAGTACTGGAGCTGCTGGGCTTGCAGGTACTACTGGAGCTGGAGCCACTGCGTCTTCTCGTGGTCCGACTGGAGCTGGAGCTGCTGAGGGTGTTGGCGCTGAGGGTACTGCTGGCGGTACTGGAGGCGGTCCTGCTGGGGGTGCTACTGGTGCTGCTGGAGGTCCTGGAGCTACTGGAGCTGCTGGGGGTACTGGAGCTGGAGGTGCTGCTGGCGCTGGTGCTACCACTGGGGGTACTGGTGCTGTCCCTGCTGTGTCTGGAGTCGCTGCGCGGCCTCGGCCGTACTTCGTTCCGCTTCTTGAGCAGGTTCTTGGTCTCCCACCTTCTACTGGTCCTCCTCCTCCCTTAGAGTGTCCACAGCCTGTCCCGTCACAGTTACAGTTACAGCCGGCCTCCCCACTGCCTGCTCCTTCTCCCTACACTGGTCCTACTGGAGGTCTTGCTGAGCGTCGTGAGCCTGCGTCTCGTCCTGCGTCGCCTGTCCGTGCTGCTCGCGCTAGTGGTCGTGGTTCGCGTCAGCGTCCTCCCCCTGTGCCCGGCACGCACCGGATGTCTCT